ATGGGGATGGCGGGAGCAGTTCCGGACCCGAGCTTCCACTGAAGCCTGGGCCTGCCACATCGGGGTGTACAGGTAGCTGTTACTGTCACCCCCACCAAAGGCGGCCCGTCTTCGCCGCCTGTAACCGCAACACGAATGCGGATCAGCAGTCCACACTGGTTGTGAATGCGCACTTCCTGGGAAATGATGACCAAAGAGCTGGCCCCGTGTGTGTGAAGGGAAGCAGATGTGCAGCTGTCCCCCTGAAACCATGCTGGAGAGGGCCACTCAGCTGGTCAGACAGACAGCGTTGTGTCAGGTTACCAGGCAACTGTAGGCAACAAATACTTGTGAGTCTGGGAGGAAGGGGTGAGCACATCAGACTTTTCCTAAACATCCTCATCACTTTCCATCATAAGAGCCCATCCCCATGTGCTCTCGTATCCTGATCATCTCACTTGGCCTGAGTCTTGTATTGCTCTCCATGTGGCAAGTGCTCTGGAGCCAGGCTGCCCAAGTCCTAGCTAGTGTGTGACCATCGGTAATTTATACCTCCCGAGCCTCCATTTGCTCTTCTCTAAAGTGGGAACAAAAACCTGGCCACCATGGCTCAGTGGTTGAGTGTTGACCGATGAACCAGGAGGTCACGGTTCAATTCCCAGTCACAAGAATAAACTCTGTCTTTCGCGTACTCACAATGGTAACCCTACTGGGCACCCGCCCCCCCCTTTCTTCCTCCTCTGGGTCAGCTCTGTAAGTTGCCCCCATCTTGTCACTGTAACTGTTCCCTAAAAAGCTCTCTTGGTGGAGGCTCCAGCTACTGACGGGCCCTTCTTGCTGTGGCCGAGTTCAGTGCCCTTTGAGGCGTCTCCTTGTTTTTGCACACACAGGAGGTTTGGCTTATTAAGGCAGTCACCACCCAGCCATGGAAGGTTCTCACATCTTCCATGTAAACCTGTAACGCTCTTGTGATTTCTCATGTTCTGGAGGGACCCTGAGGGCATTATGCTAAGTGAACTGAGCCAGAGAAGGACAGATGCTGTATAATGTTACGCATACTGTATGTGGAATCTAAAAAACCCAAACTCATAGAAACGGAATAGATTGATGGTTTCCAGGGCCTGGGGGAGTGGTTGGTCAAAGGGTCCAGACTTCCAGCGATATAGTGAGTAAGTTCCAGGCATCTAATGTGCAGCATGGTGACTAGTTAACAATATACTGTCATATACTTGAAAGTTGCTAAGACAGTAAGTACATCTTAAATGTTCTCCCCACAAAAAGGAAGTGGTGATTATGTGAGGTGATGGAGGTGTTAACTAACCCAGCTGTGGGAGTCATTTGCAATATATAAGTGCATCAGATGATCACACTGTACAGCTTAAGTACACACAATGTTATATGTCAATTTATATCTTAATAAAGCTGTGTGTGTGTGTGTGTGGGGGGGAGATTCCTCATGTTCTGTTTTCAGAACAGCTTCATTGGAGTGTGATTCAGATATCTCCCAGTTCGCCCATTCAAGGTACACGATGCAGGGGCTTCGGGTATATCCACAGAGTTATGTGTCCGTCAGCACAATATTAGAACATTTCCACTACTCCCTCAATGCCCCCATCATACCCCCAAAACCCAGGAGGGGACTAACCTACTTTCTGCCTATAGATCCGTCTGTTCTGGGTATTTTATTTATTTTTATTATTTTTTAATCCTCACCCGAGGATATTTTTCCATTGATTTTTAGAGCGCGTGGAAGAGAGAGGGAAAGACAGAGAGAAATCGATGCTGGCTTCTTCCCTGACCAGGGCCCTTGACCGGAATCGAAGCCGGGACACTTCGGTCCTCAGGCTGGCGCCCTATCCACTGAGCCAAACCGGCTAGGGCTGTTCTGATATTTTATAGAAACAGAATCAACCATACAGCATGTGGCCTTCTGTGTCTGGCTCTTCACTTGGCACACAGGGAGCGTCCAAGTCGTAACAGGTGTCAGAACTTCATTCCTTTGAAGGCTGGAGAATCTGTTATGTGAATATACCCCATTTTGTTTGTCCACTTGTCAGTTGACAGTCTTAGGGGTTGTTCTTTATTTTTTTTAACCTGTTGTTACGAATTTTTAGAGAGAGAGAAGGGAGAGGGAGAAATATCAATGAAAGAGAATCATCTATCTGCTGCCTTCTGCATGCCCCCTCCTGGGGATTGAGGCCGCAACCAGAGCTAGTGCCGTGATGGGGAATCGAACTGGTGACCTCTTGCTGCAGGGGATACCTGCTGAAACAACTGAGCCACACTGGCTGGGCCTCTGTACGTTCTTTTTGATGCACTAAGTCCCGGTCCTCTGCCTGCGATGCCTTTCCATTCCCAACCATTTTTTGAGGGGAAGAGGCATTTGTATCGTTTCTCTCTCAGCCCGAAATTACTTCCTGGTTTGCTTGTGAAGGCAACACCTGCTCAGACATTGCGTTCTGAATCCCATAATAAAATTAGGGGTTGGTCTTAAACACACACACAAAACAGTCTACAAGACCTGCCAGAAGAAATGATTCAGACTGTAGTTTCTTTTTTCTTCTATGTAATTATTTAGGCTCCGACAATTCGCTCAGTTTAGGTGAGTGCTCCCCCGGCTGAGGATAAAGTTTTCCCTCAGGAGGAAGAATGTTATGAGCGAAGAACAAAAATACGTTAGAATTTTGGCAGAGGAGCACACCAGGCGAGGATGCTTTCTTACCAGGATCCAGTGGCACTTAATGAGGTTGCCCTCATTTTACCCTTTCCTGCTGGAGGCACCTTTCCTCCCAGGCCCGGTGCGTCGCCCATGGAGCTGCTGCCAGTTAGGTCCCGGTGGAACTAAGTTCGCCAATGTCTCTGAAGGTTTGTCAGTGGGTTTCAGGGTCTCTGGTGTTGCGTGTAGGATGCGGTCAGAGGGAATAGGCGGGATGCGGTGGGGTCGAGGGCAGGCCCAGGAGCTGGGATGAATTGTTCAGCTTTGAGTCTAGCGTGCCAGGTGGTGAGCCTCGGGAGTGCGGTGCGGAGTGATTTTGCCGGGATCTGTGTTGTTGGGGTTTCCAGTGCTGACTCATGTGTCGCTTCCTTAAATGCCTGCCCTGAGGCATTCCTTCTGGAAATCTCTGTGGCATGGTATAGATGCCCTTCCCTCCTGACTGCTCGCTAAATTCTCTTCTGGGACGTAGGGTCCAGTTAAGAGCAGGCAAGTTAGCATGCCCTGTAGTTACATCAGGGAAGGAAAAAAAGAGTTATATACCAAACGAGGACTGTAAAAGGAACATCAAAATTTAATTGAATTTCACCTCTTGTATCTTGGAAAGTTGCTAAGAGAGCAGATCTTACAAGTTCTCATCACCAGGATAACTAATTTTGTGACTACGTGTGGCTGTTAACTAGACTTGTGGTGGTCACTTAGCAGCATGTGCAGATATCAGATCATGTTGTGCCCTTGACAGTAAGTACGTCTGAAATGTTCTCCCCACAGAAAGGAAGTGGTGATTTGTATGTTATATGTCAACTATAGCTCAATTTAAAACAAGATTTATCTCTACTGAGGGGTTCTTTGATTCTCCCAAATGTGTGTGGGAATGTGAAATAGCCTGGGCTTTCGCATGAGTAGACCTTGGTGATTCTTGGGCAGAGAACTCCCCACCTCTCAGCTCAGGTCATAGGGATGAAGCCTTCCACCCTACAAGAGGGTCAGTGTGAGAGCAACTGAGGTACCTTGTGTCCAACACCGGGACAGAGGGGGCACCTTCTAAAGCTCTTCTCCCCCAAATGGTTCTTTTTAACCTTCACTCAGACCCAGGTTTTAGGAGGAACCATTTGTAAGGAAACCGAGTCCTTTCCCACGGGATGGCGCTGCTGGCTCCCAGTGCTGGAGGGAGACCACCTCCGTCTCCCTTGAGCACCTCGGACCCCCGTGAGCATTTGAGAGAGGTTTGCTACTGTTCCGATTTAGCACAGCTTTTAATATGAAGTCCGTTCTCCTAAAGGGGGCAGGAAGACGTTTGCAGTGATTATTGGTTTACGTTTAAACCCTCGTGTGTTTGGACGGGAGCCATACACCGAACAGCCAGAAGCAGGTACTAGCAACTTAGAATACGGGATGAATGCCGCAAGTATCAAAGCAGACAATTTGCTTCCCCCACTAGCAGCTCTCTTGGCAGAAAATTTAAAAAGGAAGAAATGGCTGCATGATTTAAGAAAACATTGTGGGGTTTGATGATAATAACTTACGTTTCCATAATGCCTTCCAGCGTACGGAATGCTTTCCCATTATTATTTCATTGAATTCTCACAAGTCCCAGAGGTAGGTAAGACAATACTGTATTATGGTGAAGGAAACGCTGTCTCTACCACGTACCTACCACGTGGCTGTGTGGGTTATGTAAGCGCTCTGAGCTTACTTTCCTAAGTTTTAAATGGGAGTTTAATAATACCGTCCTCTGAGGAGTGGTGTGCAGATATAGGAGATAATGTATGAGCAGTGCCAGCTGCAGAGCAAGTGCTCAATAAGTGGCAGCTGTTGTTGCATTTAGGTTGAGGCAACACAGGTGAGGAGACAATCAATTTGCCGACGATCACACCATTAGTAACCGGCCCAACCTCAATGCAAACCTGATTCTGTCCCCAACGTTAATCCTCTCTGCAGGACACCGTAGCCAGGCTGTGGGAATCAGAGTATTCAGCATAATCCCATTCTTTTTTCTTTCTTTTTTTTTAAAAATATATTTTTATTGATTTCAGAGAGGAAGGGAGAATGAGAGAGAGAAAGAAACGTCAATGAGAGAGAATCATTGATTGGCTGCCTCCTGCATGCCCCCCACTGGGGATCGAGGCCACAACCTGGGCGTGTGCCCGTGTCCGGAATCGAACCCGGGATCCCACAGTCCACAGGCCAACGCTCAATCCACTGAGCTATACCAGCCAGGGCCAGCACAGTCCCATTCTGAGGAAGCCCTTCCTCCACTTCGCTGGGGCACTGACCTTTCCGATGTCTCCTTTTGTGTGATCCACAGAACATCATCAAGAAGGTGATTGGGCAGAAGTTTGTGTACAAGTTTGTCTCCTTCCCGGAGATCCTGAAAATGGACCCCCACGCCGTGGAGATCAGCCGGGAGAGCCTGCTGCTGCAGGACCGGGACTGCAAGGCGCCACCCGAGGGCCGCGAGGCGCACAGACACGGCCTGTCCGCCCTCAAGAGCACCAGCCGCAACGAGTACATCCACTCAGGCCTGTACTCGTCCTTCACCATTAACTCCCTGCAGAACCCACCCGAGCCCTTCAAGGCCATCAAGACGGAGAAGCTGGAGGAGCCGCCGGAGGACAGCCCTCCCGTGGAAGAAGTCAGGACTGTCATCAGGTTTGTCACCAACAAAACCGACAAGCACATCAGCAGGCCCGTGGTGTCCCTGCCCTCCACGTCCGAGGCCTTCCTGGCCTCGTCCGTCTCCGCCAAGATCTCCTCATTAATGCTGCCAAACGCCGCCAGCATTTCGTCCGCCTCGCCCTCCTCCTCTCGGTCCCCGTCCCTGTCCCCCAACTCGCCCCTCCCCTCTGAACACAGAAGCCTCTTCCTGGAGGCCGCCTGCCATGACTCGGATTCCCTGGAGCCCTTGAACCTGTCATCGGGCTCCAAGACCAGGTCTCCATCTCTCCCCCCCAAAGCCAAAAAACCCAAAGGCCTGGAGATCTCCGCGCCTCCGCTGTTGCTCTCCGGCACCGATATTGGCTCCATCGCCCTCAACAGCCCAGCCCTGCCCTCAGGATCCCTCACCCCAGCCTTCTTCACCGCACAGGTAAGAGCCGCGCCAGACTCCTCAGCAGACGGGAAGGGAAGGAAAGGCCACCAGACCACCTTCCTTCTGCCTTCAAGGGATAATCCGAGGGCCGGTGGGACAAAGTCCTGTGCGAATGTGAAGGGAAGTTACTTTCCCACCCCCAGACCAAGGTATCCACAGGAGAAAAGGCGGGAGCTGGCCTACAGGGGATGCTTGGTTGGTTTCTTGCTCTTTGTGGCCCTTAGAGCAGGTCCAGTGATGTCCTTGGGAAGGTAGAATGGGCCAAGTGACACTTGAGAAGGCATTGGGGCTTCATGAGATTTTTATGCCAGCGTCCTCTCTGGTGGGGAACTTGATAAGTAGTTGTTTGTTCTCTGTTGATGAGAAAATAGATGTAGCCCTAGCCGGTTAGCCTCAGTGCATAGAGCGTTGGCCCGCGGACTGAAGGGTCCCGGGTTCAATTCCAGTCAAAGGCACGTACCGAGGTTGCAGGCTCCTCCCTGGCCTGTGCCCTGGTCAGGGCGTGTGCAGGAGGCAAGCAATCGATGCGTTTCTCTCACATCAATGTTTCTCTCTGTCTTTCCCTCTCTCTTCCACTCTATCTAAATCAATAGAAAAATATCCTCAGGTGAGGATTAAAAAATACATATATCTATTAACTGTTGCAGCCCTTGCGATGGTCAACGTGGAGCTATGGGTCCTGTGGTCCCTTATAAGTACTAACAGTCAGGATGACAAGGGCCAGGCCAGCCCAGCATTGAGAGGAAGAGTCAGGGAGAGCAGAGCTACTGTGAGGAAGCCCAGGTCCGTGTCCGGAGGGAGAAGACAGCAGACGTGAGGAGCAGGGACGTCTGTGGCGAGAGTAACTCAAGGGAGAAGGCAGATGCTCTTTCTTGTCCCGGCAAAGCACGTGCCTGGTGTTTTCTGCTTCCTCTGGGAAACTGGGTGCGTTTTGGCTTCGGGGTCACAGACCTGGGGTGCGTTCCTGGTTGGGCCGCGTGGTGGACTGTGACTGGGCACTTGCTCTGGAGCCTGTTTGCACGTCTGAAATGTGTTACTGTGAGGACTGGATGGGAGAGCGGCGTGTAAGAGAGCTCGCTACAGCTGGCAGGTGTTGTCGTCATGGAGCTTTGTGGCGCCAGGTGGGGGACATGCTTTTGTGGGGGTGGGAGCAGGAACTCTGTCTCCTGCCTCTACTCATCGCCATGATGTCCTTGCTGGCGTGAGCAGCAGCAGCAGCAGCAGCAGCAGTAGCAGCAGCAGCATCCTATATTGGAGTTTTCTCGTGGGCCAGGCACTAACACTTCGCATGCGTTGCCTTGGCTGTTTTTTAGCCCCATGAAGTAGACACTGTTATTGCCTGGTTTTCCCAGCTGAGGTGCCTGGGGCACAGGGCTGGAGTAATTTGTCCAAGTTGCACAGCTAATAGGTGGTAGAAGTGAATTTGAACCCCGTTAGTCTGCCCCGGAATCCATGCTCCGGACACTGGTACTCACCGGGAAAACGCCCAGTTGTCCGTGATCATAACAGTTTGCACAGCATCTGCAAGCAGCTCTTTCCATTCTCCTCTCCATGGCTTCTCCCCGCCACATTGGGGGCCAGGGATTTGGTGTCAGCTCAAGCTTGTGAGCTGGTGCTAAGGAGGCTGCCCCCCTGGAGGGGATCGCTAAGGCAGCTACTGGGCAGAATTGTGCTCTTCAATCAGGCATTTTCCAACCAAGCGAGAACGGCCGAGTAAATGCCTCGGAAACAGTGGCCTGAAGTAGCTCCGAGAAGTAACGTGAGAAGCGGGGCAGGGTGGACATTCTAGAGATCCCCTCCCCTGGCCGACTTTGTGTTTACAATGTCAGGTTTAGAGAGGCCTCCAGCCAGGCCAAGGCCAACTCTGATTTCGGTATCTGCTTTCCTGAGCGCCCGTTCACTGTCTCCGAACAGACTGGGGCGGTTGCCAGCCCTGCAGTCATCTCGGAGGCAGTCGGCTCAGGCGAGCCCTGTGGTTTTGGGCCTGGACACTGAATGTAGGGGGGCTCCTCTCAGTGGGATGAGGATGGTCTGGCTGGGCTGGTGAGAGGAGGAGGGGGCCTCGACTTGAGAGGGGGCAGACGGTGGATGCAAAGCTCAGGATGGGCAGAGAGATCCTTCTAGAAATGGCCTAAAACCAGGGCAGAAAAGCATAGGAAAGCCAGATGACCTGTGTCTAGGGCAGTTGGGAGTGAACAGTCCTCAGCCAACCTGTGAGGGTTCACGCTGTGAAGTGTGAGTGAGCAGCAGGAGTCCCAGAAGTGGGGCCCGGGCTTCCCGAAGGATGGAGGCAAAGGGCCAGGTCTGAACCAGGGCAGGACGGGAGTGGAAGTGGGGCCTGGGCTGAAAGGGCCTGTGGGTGGGGTGGGGTGTGAAGAAAGCACAGCACATAGTGCTCTGAACAGGGTCAGGGGAGTCAAGGGCTGCCTTTGGGTGATGGCACATTTGAGGACCTGACATCCCCTCACCTTCCAGCAGGGTCAGCTCTGCCCCTGGTTGGGTGTATGTGGCCAAGAGTGGCTGACAGGAGGGAGAGAAAAGCAGAGCAGAGAACGGGTGGGGCTCCAGCATTGGGGGCGTCCACCCAGCTGGTTCCTTTGAGATCAGCCGGGACTGTCATGGAATTTTAGCTTAAAAAAATACCCCCCTCCCCCAATTAGTTTACATTGAATCTTATTTTGTATTGGTAGTAGGGAATGTGGTTAGACAATCATGAGCTTCTGTCTTGACAAGCTTCAGGGCTTTGAGGATTTGGGGGGAAGGGGGGCTGAGTCAGTGCAGGATTTGGATCCTGAGGACCCACCCCAGGAACTGCTGTGTGTGCCCCAGTGGACAGAGCAGCATCTGCTCTGAGGAGCCCACGTGCTGTAGAGGGCTACTGGCCGCAGCCCGGGAGGACCCATTTTCCTGGGGCAGGAGTGAGACTTCGCTTTGCTCCCGGGCTGCTCTGGGGGTCCCCTCTTCACCTGAGGGGGGCTTGGAGCCTTCCTCCCACAGGCACAGTGACGTCTCACTCCCACAGCTCAGATAGGAACTTGAGCACTTTCCCTCCCAGAAACCCTGCTCCCTTCTGTGGGCTGTGCAGCGTGACAGTTTGCTCACCTCTACGAACCTCATATAAACTTTTAACAGTTGGCCCTAGAAGAGGTGAAAGCTGTGCTGTAACAATTTCATACCCTGAAAATGAAATTCCCAAGAATTTAGTTTATTCCAAGAACTACTTACTTACTTTTATTTACTTATCATTTATATTTTACTTCTTTATTCTAAGAATAATTACCAATTATTTTCAGCTGGAAACATGGGAGGAAGAAAGGTAGGATTAGGAGGAAGGGTTAGGATTAGGAGAGTCCTGGCATGACTGGGGTCTTGTAGTTACAGTGCCCTCTGGGGACCTTATTAAACCACATACCTTGTATAAGCTTCAATTCAGATTTGAAATTTCATCTGCAAAATGATGTGCGTGAAAATCATCAGCCGACCCCCCAACACCGTTGCCTTCCTCAACACCATCGCCTCCCTCAACACCATCGCCTTCCCCAGCATCATAACCACTCTTAACACCATCACCTCCCTCAACACCATTGCCTCCCTAACACCATAACCTCCTCAACACCATCACCTCCCTTCCCATTGAAAATACTTGTGGGGCATCTGCTGGGACCTGTACGAAGTACAGTTGAGGTGACTCTTGTATATTATGAGTGTTGAAGAATCCAGATTACTAATGTAGACAGACATGATGATCCCCAAAGGCACTTTAAGCATGGACTATGGGGAACTGAAAAAGGGGAATTCAAAAGCCAGCTGGGCACCAAGGAGCTTAGCTGCCAAGGGGAATGGCTGCCAGAGTATCAAGGTCATATTGGACTGTGGCTAGAGGAGCAAGAGTGTTATCTCAGATGGCATGAGCCACAGACCGAGATGGGGAGCAGCCAGGCTGTGAAACCCTCCTGGCTCCTAGCCAGGCACCATGCAAGCCCAAGCGGTGCCAGCAGGAGCTTCTGATCCTCTGTGTCTTCTGCACCTTGTGGCGTCTGCCCCTCTTCCTTCCATTCGCCTCTTCTGTTTGCTCTCTTCATCTAACAGTGTGAAGTTGGTTCAGAATCAGAGGCCGGCACATTGCATTGCTCTTCTGGTATGCCCAGACCGCTGTTCCTCTCACATGTGTTTAAGATGGTCAGCTCAGATATGTGCAGGCACTGGGGCTTGAACTCGCCCTGAATCTGAGCGCGCATGCCCCAGGCTGTTAGCTTCAGACCTGGATTAGCAGCAACTGAGTGGAGCCAGTTGGCGGAGGACTGAAATGCTGAAACCCTCTTCCTGCATTTACTGGTGGGTGTAACAACTCTGAGCTCAAGTTATAAGGTGGGAATTGAGTAAAATGGATGTGTGTGTTTGAGGAGAGATCAGGTGTAGTACATCCTAGCCCAGCCCTGGGGGGTTTCTCATCTTATTGTCTATCTTGCCATTGTCACAGAAGCATTAAAGGGGTTCTCTCTCTCTCTCTCTCTCTCTCTCTCTCTCTCTCTCTCTGCCCAGCCTGCTGCCTTGTCACACTGACCTGAGTGAAGAGATTGTCCTTCCAGGAGCTTCCCACTGGAAGATGTCACTGGGAGTTTTGTGTGACTTGGCACGATTGTTGAAGGTTGCTTCCCCAGGCTCTGGGCTCCCTCTTTCCACCTGGGACCCCTCCCCTCCCCCTTTCCACCTGGGACCCCTCCCTCTTTCCACCTGGGACCCCTCCCCTCTCCCTTTCCACCTGGGACCTCTCCCCTCCCCCTTTCCACCTGGGACCCCTCCCTGTCTATCCCTCTTCCTTCCTCTCTGTAAAAAATCAATAAAATATATTTTTTTAACCTCCCCCTTCCCACCTGGGTCCCCTCCCCTCTCCCTTTCTACCTGGGTCCCATCTCCTCTCCCTCTTTCCACTTGGAACCTATACCCTCTCCCTTCTCCTTCATGGTTCTCCTACCTCTTCCCGCTCCTGCCCTATTCCTTTGTTTCCCTTACCACTTACTCTACCTGCCCTAGCCCCTCACGGATTCTCCATCTTGACCCCCTTTCCTTACGATGAGGACCACATTCAGTACCACACACTCTGCTATGTGATTCTGCTTCTCTTTTACAGGCTTTAAAACCACATTTCTATTTGAATTCAGGCAACTCTAGGAGTTAAAAAGGTGGTTATAAAGTGTTCCGAGGATTCAGAAACAAGAGAAGTGCCACCTCATCGAGGGGAGTGCAGGGGAGTCTCCCACAAGGTGCTGGCACTTTGATGGGCAGAGGGAGGCAGGGGTAGGAAGGAGGAGATCTGAGGGCATGACCCAGATAGAGACCCATGAATAGAGGACACTCAGGTGTGGCATGTCTGGACACCAGCTCACCAGGCTTAGCTCAGAGGTGTTAGCTGTCTAGGAAACCCACTGTTAAGTGGAAGAGCTAAGCTGGGAGGATGGAGGAAAATGAATGCTCATTGCCCTTGGGCCTTAGGGCCTCTCCCTCCCTGGCAGCCTTGGGAACTACCATTCAGAAAGGCCCGGAAGAGGAAGCATGCATCCGTCTGCAACTTCTTTCGTGAGCCTTAGTCCTCAGGCTCAGCCCTCCCTGCCTGACTCCTGGAGCCTGTGGAGAGAGGCTCTGAAAGCTCACACTGTACTTGAGATAACCCAGAGCAGGCTTCAGAAACCTTCCTCAACAGAGCAGTCGGACAGCCCCGGCCGGGTGTGGGAGGCAACCCCATTGATGTTTTTCAAATCAAAAAACATACACTTGGGTGAGGATTAAAAAAAAAAAAAGAGCAAACAAATAGTGTTTTCCTTAAGGCCACAGAGTCTTTTGGGAGATCAGAGATGGGAGGGATGGAAGTCATTTTACAATATTTATTTGCATATATTATGAAAGGCATTTCAAACATTAAGCATGAGAAACAGAGGGCTAGCTACTGTATTCTGAATAGATTTTGTAACACTTAGAAAAACGTATGTGCAAACATCTCAAATCCTGACATCGGTACACATTTTGGACTATGAAAATATATAGTCCAAAGGATTAAAAATGGATGGGTAGATTTATGGCCACAGATGAAAGATGGCTAGACTTTGTAGAAGACTCATGGTCTCTTTAGAACTTAAGAGATCGTCACTGGTGGATAAATGAGGAGGCTCTGGACATACCGGTTATTAAATGTTAATGTGGCTGGAACCTGGCTCCTGAATGACATGCAAATATCAGTTCTTAGGCCACCTGAGCCTGCGGACGGAGTCTCACAGGACTGAGAGGAGTCGAGCCGTCAAGTACCCGCCGACAAGATTGGCTTGTCTGTTGTAGAACATTAAGTACTTTTCTATATACAGTTGAATGTCTCCCAGGAAAAGGTGAAATACATTTAGTAAGTGTGTCAGGTAGACTTTTAATTAATCACCGACAGCAGTCTTTAAATGCCTGTTGCGCGTTTGCTGTGCCAGGTACACATTATCCTCCCCACTATCCTGTAGCGCAGGCATTTTTTTCCTCCTCACTTTAAAGCGTAGGAACCGGAGGTGGAGAGCGGTTGGCCTGGCTAATAAGGGGTGGTCCTGAGGCGGGAAGCCTGGCAGAACTCATGTTGAATTGTTCAGTCTTAACCGTTAGGCCAGATGGCCTGGCGCCCTCCTGACATTGCCTCGGATTAGAACAAACGGGAAGCATATCCAAACACAGGTATTTATCCCAGTGACCTGGCGGCTCATTCAATCTGTAGACGTGCTGTGGCACCAGAGACTCAAATAATTTGGTATAAATTAGTTTGCCTTCCAGCAGCTTCAGTTTGAGAACCTTTGTCTGAATCCAGTGCACTGAGCAGAGCAGAACTTGAACTTTGGTTTAAGCCAAATGCTCGAGATAATTAACAAAGCTGCTTAGGCCAGTTCTAGGAAAAAACAACACTGTAGCATCCAGCATGATGCAATCTGAGCTGCGGCTGCCTTGGCTGTGGTTCTTAACCAAAGCACCTACTGATGTCACAGTCACCCAGGGTGCAGAACCACCCTGGGCAAGGGAGTTCGCCCTCGCAAGAATCCAAGCCAGGCACTTAAACTCGGCAGATTTCTCTGCCCTCTGGCTGGCGGGCAGGCGGGACTCCTGCTGCGTGTGTGCAAGCAAATGCAGCCCTTGGCACTCTCGCGGGAAACCCAGAGTTTTGGCTTTACACCCAATCTGACAAGAAAGGATCCCCCCTCTCCCCCCTCAAGCCATTGCCAGGGAGACGAATTCTCATCAGCCCCACATCCGGAGTGGAATCTGGAAAACCCAGTTCAGAGCTTTTGAAGAAGCTGGTCAAGGGTATTTTAGCAGCAAATTCTAAAGTATTAAGGGCCATGGATAGGGAAAAGGAAGCTCGGGAGGCCCTTTCAAAAATACGTTTGTAACCCAAGTAATGGATGTCCACTACAGAAAACTACAAAAATATAGATAAGAAAAAAATAGAGCCTGAAAATGGGATCCTGTTTTGTTGTACACGAAGTCTAGTTTAATGTTTGGGCCGTGGGGGTCGGGGGTGAGGTGGGGGGTGGGCAAATTGAATTAGGACAAAAGTTGCTACAAACTTGAGTTTTCCACTAGAATGTTTAAGGGGAGGTAACTTGTCCATACCTCTCTCCTTTTAAATATTGCTAATACTATTAGCATTAAAGAAAATTACAAGTAAACAGTGCGCAGCCATGCAGAAATAAGAATTGTCAGGTTTTCCAAAGGTGGTGAGGCTTGTTTCTTGGTTCGTGGCTGGCGCACCTAGCCACCCTGCTGGAAGAAGTCAGGTGACCCCTGTATCAAAAACTGTCTCTGCTTTCTTTCTCAGACACCAAATGGATTGCTCCTGACCCCGAGTCCACTGCTCTCCAGCATACATTTCTGGAGCAGCCTTAGTCCAGTTGCTCCACTGAGCCCTGCCCGGCTGCAAGGGCCAAACACGCTGTTCCAGGTGAGTGTTTGGAAAAGAACTTATACACAATGCACGTCTAAGAGCTATGCTCCCCAATAAATCCTGCAGAGGTAGCAGTGAATTCTGCTCTGTGCTTCGTTAAAATGTTAAGTTTCCAAAGGGAGTTTCGTTAATGGGGCTGCACACAAGACAACCTTCAAAGGCAGGCATTTCCTTTGGGGCAGAAACGGAGTCCTCAGGCCCGATAGCCATAAATGGAAGGAACAATGCCTTCGTGCAGTGTTCTGGAATTTTCATTGACTAGGAAAACTGGAAACTTATTAAGGAAAAGGCAAAACTTTAAAAATTATATCTTATAAAAAATCTCATAATACTTAAAAATATTACTGTATTAGTCAGCAGTGAGATCACGTAAAATAAAAAATAGTGAACAATTTTTTTCCATGCTACAATAGAAAAGTTACCTGTATAATTCCACCAGGATACATAATCAAGTTCTCCTTGTTCCATAGTAAAAAAAAAAAAAAAAAGGAGTATGCAGGGCATTTGATTAAAACTAAGTCTTAGGGCTTTATCTTGTGAAACTCCCTGAACTAGGTAAGCACATTCATTATTCATTAACAAACTAGGATCTTGCAGTAGCATCACTTGTTATCAAGTGGAAATCACTATTCCTCTTTGAGATCCAGGCTGTTCCTCACTGACCGAGATATTACTGTTTGAATATGTGAGTGAAGAGCAGAAAGGATCCTAGGGACAGGAATGGAGCAAACTGGACAAAGTGCTAGCTCCCTCTTTACCTAATTCTAGCCTCACCTGTCTCATCCACCCTGCACCCCATACCTGCCCCTAGTGTGGCTCACCCAACGTTACTTACAGCTCTTCTGATCCTGTTGCATCTGGCACTCACCAGTTTGCACTATGATAGACTGTGGGCCCTCAGGAGGCCATAACTATACCTTGCTCACTGTGGTGTGCCACCAGCATCTAGCACATTGCTTGGCGCACAAACGATGCTCAGTAAGTATTGTTGACTGACTGAATGGATGGATGTCTAAGAATTTGTTAAGAAAGTAAGTGTTAAAAAGTTCAGGTCTCCCTGCTTTCTTGAGTGGGTCATTTTGCTTGTCAGGGTTAATAGTTACCTCCTCGGTGCAAGGAGCTGTACATAGTGGGATTTAGGATGTTCTTTGAGGAAAAGTGGAGCTAGGGTGGTTTTGATTGCTATCTCACTTCTCTGGTTTCCTAGTCGGGAGGAGGTAGAGTGTCACGATGTCACCGTATCCCTGGAGTAATAAGGTTTCTCTTCCTGGCCCTTCTTCCCGTTACATTAAATTGAGCTATGGTTTTGCGAACAGGTTGATTCATAGCCATTTCACCTCAGGCAGGGAAACAAACTAGAAAAAGCAAGCAAACAGCAGTGAGCAAATGTAGTTTCAGTAAGTTTAGATGAGCAACTTGATGGAAAGCTAAGACCTTGCTTCCTGCAAGCAGTTGGAGCAGCAGTGTCTCGGGTCAGAGCTCTGGAGTAAAGCAGAAAGGAACTGCGTGGTCTGTGTGCAGTGCCCTCCATGGCAGCATGGGCTGCAATACTATTCTAACCTGAGACTCCGATGTAGGGCCTCTGTGGGACTCAGTAGATGTCTGTGAGTAAGGAATAGACCAGCCATGGGCAAACTACGGCCTGTGGGCCGGATCCGGCCCTTTTGACAGCTCCTCCTTCTGAGTCTAGTTTAAGAACCCATTGTGGCCCTTGAGTCAAAAAGTTTGCCCACCCCTGGAATAGACTCTCACTTCCCTCCTTACTGGAAAGTCTGCCACCTGGTCAGTGCAGGGTGTGGTGACCTCTCAGGGAAGCCATGGGAAACAATTACTTGGGAGTTCTTTGGTATATCTTGCCTACTTAGATACTAAACCTTTCCTAGCCCATACTCTCTGCAGGAACAATGGGTCGTGTCCTCAGTGATTTTGTGCATTATCAGCATATCCGCTGCTCCAGGAACCACACTTGGAGAACCACTGCAGACCAGTCATACCATTTAGAATTCTGCAGAAGAAACTACTGCATTTTAAGGCTACCTGCTCACAATTTCAATTTTACAAAATGCACCTGCCCCCTCTTCTGCAGCTGTTCAAACTGCATTGGGCAAAAGTACATTTACGGTTGTGCATACACAAAAGTTTATTCTTGTATTATTATTTACTGTATTATTTTCCATATAAATGGTAAACCTACTTTTGCCCACCCCTGTACAACCCATGCAACCATGATTGGATGGCTGACAGGGCCCTGGACCCTCGTTTTGGTTTGGGTCCGTGAGACTAAGGAAAAATCTTTTCAAATATTATTACTCTTCCTATAATAAGAGCAGTTGAGTATGGGCTAGAAAAGGTTTAGTATCTAAGCAGGTAAAAGTTGACATTAGCAGTTTTGAATATAGTAAAGAACAAAACATAGTGAGAGGAATAATACTTTTTTGGGGGGAGAATTTTTATGAGTTTGAGCCAAACATGACATATGCCAGGAAGCCAGATCTCAAATGCTCCCTATACTTTGATTTTTAAAATTAGACACTTCAAATGATAGATTTGTAAAAATCCCATGAGTATCAACAGTGTCTCTTTTCAACTAATGGAAATAATTTTCTTTAAAAAATAACAAGCCTCTTTCACATATGCTATAAATGTGTGGGAGGAAGAAGAAAAAATACAGTTAAGTCTTAAATGGCGCTGGAAAGTTTCCTGCTGTGATGATTAGAAAAGTAGATCAGAATCCGTAGAGTGACAGATGACAGAGCTAAGTCTTTGCACAGAAGGTCCCCTGATAGAACTGTTATAGCAGATACTGAAGAATTGAGGGGAAGGAAAGAAGGTATCTCCCTTCCTGGGAGAGGCATGCTTTGTAATCGAGACGTCTTGGAGAGAGAGGACAAAGACATGTTGTGTTAAATCTAAAAATACAACCCTGATGTACAAATAAAGTGACATCAATTTCAACTGGACAGTTTAGCATTTTACGTTTGTCTGTAGGATGTCTGTTCCATTTTTGAAATAGATGTTGATCAAATTTGGAATAAGTCGACCAAGTACAACTAGATCTTGAGACAAGGTGAAGCTAATTAACTTTTCACTGAGATTGTTTTCTGTAATTTTAAATTCAATAAATATAATCCAGCAAATATTTGTAATGCTCTGAGGCAGGGACCTAGGGTTTATATAGTATGTGAATAATAGATGTGTAAACAAAGTTCTATAAGAACCCAACAATAATAGCTCTTTCCTGCTGGGTAGTGGACAAATGCTCCAAGGAGGTGCACCTGAGCTAAGCTAAGAAGGGATAGGATTTTATCAAAGAGTAAAGCACATTTTAGAGTAATAGAGCTTTTCAGTATGGACGTACACAGTCTGTTCAGGAAAGTTCTGGGTAGTAGAAGTCAAGATTGGAAAAGCAGCTGTGGGACTTGAATAGTATGATCAGGAGTTCCTACCTTAATTTCTTAAGTGATAATGGAAGTCTTTTAAAGCTGGAGGTAGTAAGACAATCTCTAGAAAGATCACGAAGTGATTACAAAGTGCTATTAATAACAGTAGTTAACATGTACTATATACCAGACATAAGCACTTTTTGTGGCTTCTCATTTAATACTCAAAATAGTAATACTTAAAGAAATTAAGGCCCAGAGATGTTGCTTCCATTTACCTAGATCACATGTTATTAAGCGGCAAAGCTCTAAGTTAAGTTTAGGGTTGTACTACTCATAACCACCATCCTCACTGACTTAAAAGCACACACAGAAGAGCAGGTTTTGTGGGGAAGAGACATTGGTGGTACTTCTAACAACAGGAAATGATCGCTAAGTCCAGTATAAGAGACAAGTTTGAGGAATGTTGCAAATTTAAGAAAAGGGACAAGGGGGTAGGTTTAGCGCCAATAATTTGGCTATGACACATGCCAGAAAAGGCAGGCTAACCAAGAGAAACTGTGACAACTGAGCATATAGAAATAAAAAAGGGCAGAAATCACGAATATATCTTTAAAAACAGAGACTAACCCAAAAGCTGACTCTTTTGAAAACACCAGTAAGACGGACAGAACCACTGAGAGGTACAAATAAATTAAGAGAATGAAGATTCAAAACCCCTTTTTCCAATGTTTACCTGAGTCAGCGATTTTCAACCAGTATGATGCAAGAATTTTTAAAGCATCAAGACGTGGCTAGTGAGGGGCAGGCACTGACCTCTTTTCCCTTAGGTTGTCCAATAAAATGAAAAGAGCCAATACAACAGTAGCCGTCCGGTGTGAATGAATCAAAATTGTATCTTTTTTTGGAGTGCCGCAGGATTTTACTAATTAAGATAGTTTATGTGTGTCATGAGAAGATAAAGGTTGAAAATCGCTACTCTAGGTGGGATCAGTGGTTAGGAACACAGATTTGCAAGTAGAGTTTATAACCCAGTTGAAATGGATCAAATTCTATAAAAAACCTAAAATCAGAAAAAAAAAACACACCTATATATGCCAATAACCATTGAAGAAACTGAAACAGTAATTAGACAACACTCTCCTCCTCAAGCCCTACAAAAAAACAAATTGGGCTGTTTGGCACAGAAAGCAGTTTAAAACCTAGCTTTACTGCTTATTACCTATGACCTTTAGACAATTCCGAACTTTTCTGAACTCTTTGTTTTCTCCCTAAAATGGGGAAAACCAAACTTAACCTTACAGGCTCTAGATAGCAAATGAAATGACAACCTTTGATAAACTGTAAGGCACCAGACACATTGTCACAAAAATAGCTTGAAAATTACGAAAGTACATTTACTTGTTCTACAAATATTTATTGTACTTGTAATGTGTACCGGACTCTGTAGTTTGATATTTAGTGTTGAAGTTTAATATTAAATTCCTATTAAGTCCTGATAAATTAAACTAGAAGAGGGCCCCGGGAGATCATTCTGACACATGTCATCCTAGACAATGAACATCTAGTTGAGGCCTTTAATTATTCTTGTTCAGTTGGAATATAGCTGTTGTACTTCTTTCAGACCTGAAAGTTATCAAAGCATATAATACCTTTATCCTGTTTGTCATCTTAGTTACCAGTAATACTGAAATTAACTTTGTTCTTTAAGTTTCATCACGTATGGGTGACCTCGCTGTGAAGTTTGATATTATGCTTTTAATTAGAAAGAATACTTTCTCAGCCCCCAAATAGAGAGGTTCTTGCTCTTTTAAGATAAAAACATTCCTCATTTTTAATAGTTACAGGGAAGCAACTTTGTAGTACTCTGGAAAGTTTATGGCTAATTTCAAATTACAGTATTAGAAATTACTGCTTTATATGTAAAGAGTCAGTTGTGGTTTTCAAAATTAATTGTTTAAATATTAAAACAAATCAACATTCTATGTAGCTTGGAATCTTTTTGTTGTTGTTAATCCTCATCCGAGGATTATTTTCCCATTGACTTTTAGAGAGAGTGGGAGGGAGGGGGAGACAGAGAGAGAGAGACACATTGATTGGTTGCCTCCCACACGCACCCCAACCAGGGATGGGTATCGATCCTGCAACTGAAGTACATGCCCTTGATCAGAATCAAACCCAGGACCCTTCAGTCCACGGGCTAGCGCTCCAACCACTGAGCAAAACTGGCTAGGGCAGTAGCTTGGACTCTTTAAAAAATAGTGTTAGAACATACTTCAACAAATGAAGTACATATTTTATATACCTAGGCTACTATGAATAAATAATTTTCTGTGCCCTTCTGTTTGCTGTACATAAACCTGATCTCATTGTCCTCTTCCAGTTACTCATTTGCAACTTACCTTTATCACAGCGGTGAGGACAGAACTGAGCCACTACAGTCTATCTAGGAATGTAAAGAACTCAAGTTCTTCCCAATAGATTTATAATTGTTGAAAAATCTTTTGTCCCCACCAGTTCCCAACACTGCTCAATGGCCACATGCCAGTGCCAATCCCCAACCTGGACAGAGCTGCTTCTCCAGTACTGCTTTCTTCGACCTCTCAGAAGTCCTGATGACATCTGGCCACAATGAAAGACTCATTCACTGATGAAGCAAATTTGTGCCCATGGGCTAGTTTACCTGTGTCATGAGAAGGACTTTGTGAAACCCTGTTAATTTGGTTTGCACTTTTCATAACATGGATGGTCTAGATATATGTTAGCATTTTTAAAACTTTTTTTTTATATTCAAGTATATATGAAAATCTGTTTTGCATTAAGTGAATTTTAATGTTTTTGTTTTTATATCCTCTTAGCTCTTAAGTGTTGAACACTGTTGACAGTGAAGAACTTTTCTTAATGGCTTTCAGTGTAACTAATAAGGATGTGAAGCTTTTTCGCTTTAATTCTGCATATGCTGAACTGTGCTTATACACTATAACCAGCTGTGCCTTCCCTTGCATTTAGTTTAATGTAAATGATTTATATATTTTTTAGAGAAAATGTTTGAAAGACAAAGATTAGTATCAAACAGCTCTCTAGTAGAACATTATTTTTCACAAGTAGGGAATATGAAAGCATATTCATATTACTTTTTCTCTTTTGCTTTCAATTATAAGAATTGCCTTAGAGCCTCTTTTGAACTGAAATTCAATAAATGTAATGTCCAAGTAATGTTTTTATAAGAAAAAACTAAGCCATATTTAGACAATAAACATTCATGACAGAAAATGTTCGAAAGTGCATTTTTAAAGAGAGGAACTTGGAAAGGCTAGCCTCCCAGCTGTTTACCAGCTGTTTACAATCTTTTAGACTCCTCCCAAACAAAACCACCTGATGGAAAAGCTACAAGTTTATTCTATCCATACCCCTGGAGTATTTCCGAGGTTAGCATATTCTTAGTTCAAGAAATTAGCCCTGGTTCTCCCTGTTTTCCATAAAGAATCACACCCCTCCAATACATTTCCTGTATCGTTCTGAGGTAAGGTTTCTCTAAACCCCCTGAACTATTAACATTTAAAAAGCCTATCCTTTGAAAGAGGCTCACAGACTCGTGATGAAAACAAACAATGAAGAAACAATCTTGTAATACCAGGTATCTTCATGTGTATGGGTATAGCCTTGCTTGTGGAAACCTGAGAGGTTATTGCTAAATTTAAGGTGAGAATGAAGGAAACCTGATGCAACAAATATAAGATTCTTCAGAAACCGCATCAGTGTTGAATTGATTATGTAACAATGTGGAACACTAAACAGTAATTCTTTTGTGTAGTGGAGAGCAGGGACAATAGGAATGTATTTTCTGTTCCTTCAAAAAATCAGCAGGCACCCATCTAAGGCATCTTTCTGTACATTATGAAAGTTCTAATGGTAAGAGAACTGGAAAGTGCCCAGTGCTTGCAATTCAAGATCAGATTAATTATCATCCTTAACTATAAGTAACAGAAACCAATTTAACATGTGGCTAATTAATTAATTGCTCCAAACCAGGCATTAAATAGCAGGGATAAATAAAGCAAAGCTTGTAAAAACACATTCCTTGAATTTTCAAAAAAATCTAAAATTCTGTTATGATATAAATGTTGAGATTTTCAATTGGAATTGAGCATCTCTATGTGAGGGATGTATGCCCTTATTTGGAGGAAAACCCCAAACATTTCAGTATGCACCTTTGAAAATAAAATAATGGGGTTGATTCCAGAATCCACAAACAGACACTACTGTCATGGGCTAAGGATAATTCTGTACAAAATAGCTGGTCCAGATGATATTTACTGAGAATGCGTCCTACCCAGGTTTCCAGATGCGGACAGTTGCACAGGAGAAGCTGCGTAAGACCATATAGCTCATCGGAGGTAACAGTGCCCAGTGCCCAGTCCAGTTCTGCTTCCTCATCTCAGCTGTAACTACCAATCCAAAACTATATGTTAGGCAAAAAAAAAAACAAAACAGCATTAAAAAACTGTCAGATAAGAGAAGGATGCAGTCCAAATGCAAGAGTCTTAGAGAAACTAATTAAAAAGGAAGTCCTATGTACAAATATCACAACCAAAATATTTTTAAATGTAAATACTGACTGGAAAATTCAAATGACCATCTCTGATTCTTGTATTCCCTTCCTCCAAATACTATAACATACAACCTAGCGTCATTTATTGGAAATGGAAAAATACCATAATTCAAAAACTCACTATAACACAAAGAGAGAACTAGAGGTATTGAAGTATAACCCTTAAAGCTCTGCCTCATTCTACATGTGTGTGTCTGTGTGTGGTTTGTTTTTTTAATCAACTATTTTAGACAATAGGTTTCACAGAACATATTAAATTTTTTCTTCCTTTTTATATGTCTACTTGATCAGTGTTAAATTGCTAAGGCTCAAGTTTTATAGAACTATAATCTAAACATTGGTCTCTTTGTACACATCATTTCTCTGACTGCAAATCTTCATTACCTTTCATATATGTATCATTTTTACTGTTATATTATTTTTGTTCAATAAATACTTTGTGATAAAAGGCAAGTGGGTCAGTTTACTTCCATTTATTTGGGATAATCCAAATTTCACTTTCCCATATGAGTACACTTTAGAAAATGAGTTGTCATCTACACTTAAATATGGTATATTATCAAAACATGCTATGTATATGTAATCTGCTTTGAACAGATACTTAAGGAAACAAAATTATTGAAAATGAATTGGAGAGAAGGAAATGGGTTTAAAAAATGTCCCCTGATCTTTAAAATCTTAAGTTCTAGCAACTGTTCTATATTGAGAGCGCCGAATCCTAACCACTAGACCACCAGGGAACCTAAACTGTTCTATATTGAGATGAAGGAGGGGGAAAAATTACCCTTTATTCTTGTAGCTACAACTTGTATCATACTCAATGGTTAAAAGACTGAAATCTTTTCCCCTAATATTAGGAACAAGATAAGGATATCCTCTGTTGCTATTTCTATTCAACAGAGTACTGCAAGTCCTAGCCTGAAGGGAAGAAGAGGGGAGAGAAAGAAAAAAAACACAAAAACATCCAAATGAGAAAGGAAGACATAAAATTATAGATATCTTATATGTAAAAAAACCTAAAGAATCTACCAAAGAAAAGTTAGAGCTGATAAACTGAGCAAAATTGTAGGATACAAAATCAACATGTAAAAATAATTTGTATTTCTACATACTAGCAACAAAAAAACCTGAAAAATTTAAGAAAACCATTCTAGCTACAATATCCTATATAATAACGAGGTAATATGCAAATTGACTGTCACATTCTCACACAAGATGGCTGCCACAAGATGGCTGGCAGGGGAGGGCACTTGTGGGCGATCAGGGCCTCAGGGGAGGGCAGTTAGGGGCTACCAGGCCCTGCAGGGGAGGGCAGTTGGGGCGACCAGGTTGGCAGGGGAGGGCAGTTGGAGCGACCAGGTTGGCAGGGGAGGGCAGTTGGGGGTGATTGGGCTGGCAGGGGAGCAGTTAGGTGTCGATCAGGCTGGCAGGGGAGTGGTTAGGGGGTGATCAGGCTGGCAGGTAGAAGTGGTTAGAGGCAATCAGGCAGGTAGGCAGGCAGGCAAGCAGTTGGGAGCCAGCTGTCCTGGAATGTAAGGAGGATTCCTGTGGGATCGGGCCTAAACCGGCAGTTGGACATCCCCCGAGGGGTCCCAGATTGTAGAGGGTGCAGGCTGGGCTGAGGGACCTCCTCCTCCGCCCCCCAGTGCACGTATTTCATGCAGCGGGCCTCTAGTCTATACTAATAAAAGGGTAATGTGCTAATTAGACTGGGGTCGACTGGACATCTTCGGGTCGTCCTGCCTTCCTTCCAAAGCCACGGTGGCGGGGGCTGAGGCAGAGGTGGTTAGGGGTGATCGAGCCAGCAGGGGAGAACAGTTAGGGGCAATCAGGCCGGTGGGGGAGGGCAGTTAGGGGTGATCAGGCTGGCAGGGGAGGACAGGGCGATCAGGCCAGCAGTGGAGGGCAGTTAGGGGCAACCAGGCCAGCAGGCAGAGGGGTTAGGGGTGATCAGGCCGGCAGGCAGGTGAGCGGTTAGGAGCCAGCGGTCTCGGATTGCATAAGGGTAAAGACTGGGCTGAGGGGAACCCCCCCCCCCCATGCACAAATTTCATGCACCGGGCCTCTAGTCAAATATAATAATGAATAAATTTAATCAAGATGACACAAGACTTGTACAGTGAAAACATGAAACATTGCTACAAGAAATTAGACATCCTATGTTCATGTATTAGAAGACAACATTGTTAAGATCCAAAGTGGGGACCTACAGATTCAATGCAATTCCTATTACAATCCCAATGACATTTTCTTTTTCCAGAATAAAAAAATTTCATCCTAAAATTTATATAGAATTTTAAGGGACCTCAAGAGTCAAAACAATACTTATATGAACAAAAACAACTCACACTTCTTGATTTCAAAACTTACAAAATCACAAGTAATCAAAATATTGAACAGGCAAAGGACAGAGATTTAGACCAACATAATAAAGAAAGCCAAAATAAGCCCTCACATCTATGGTCAATTGATTTTCAACAAGAGTGCCAAGACCAGAGAGAAAAGAATAGTCTTTTCAACGAATAGTGCTGGGAAAACTAGATATTCACATGCAGAAGAATAAGTTGGGCCTACTTGACACCATATACAAAATTTAATTAAAAATGGATTAGGGCTCTAAATGTAAGCAGTAACAGTGTAAAAACCTTAAACAGGAAAATATTCATGACCTTGGATTTGGCAATAGTTTCACAAATATGCCACCAAAAGCAGAGGCAACAAAAGAAAAATAGATACACTGGACTTCATTAGGATTAAAGCTTTTGCACACCAAAATGACACCGTTAAGAAAATGAAAGACAATCCACAGACTGGAAGAAACTGCAAATCATATACCTCATAAGAGTCTAATATGTAGAATATACAAAAAAACTACAACTCAACAACAAAAAGGTGACACAATTTAAAAATGGGCAATGGACTTGAATACACATTTTTCTCCAAAGCAGATATACAAATAACAGATGAAAAGATGCTCAACATCAATAGTTACTAGGGAAATGAAAAAACCACAAGTTCCCATTAGAATGAGTCTATATATATAAAAGCCTAAGTGACCGTTATGACTAGATGACCGGCCAGTAGTTATGATGCACACTGACCACCAGGGATCACTCAACGTAGGAGCCGCCCCTTGGTGGTCAATGCGCTCCCACAGCCAACCTCCCAGAGACAGCCCTGATCAGCCCAATCACTGGCCAGGCCAAAGGACCCCACCTGCGCACGAATTTGTGCACCAGGTCTCTGGTACAATAATAACAACAACAAGTGTTGGCGATAGATGAGGAGAAATTGGAACTCTCACATTACAATTGGGAATGTAACATAGTGTAGTTGCTCTGGAAAACAGTTTGGCAGTTCCTCAAAAAGTTAAACATAGAGTTACTAAGTAACCAAACAATTCCAATCCTAAGTATATAAACTCAAAGAATTTGGTAAACAAGGACTCAACAAAAGCTTCCAATGTCCACAGCAGCATTATTCACAATAATTGAAAGGAGAGAAAAACCCAAAGTCCATCAACAGATGAATGGATAAACAAAACATCGTATATTCATATCAGAATATTATTCAGCTGTGTAAAAAAGAATTTCTGACATGCTACATCATTAAACCTTGAAAACATTATGCTAAGTGAAACAGGTCAGACACAAAAGGATAAATACAATATGATTCCACTTTTATGAAATATCTAGAATATGCAAATTCAGAAACAAAAAGTATATTTGAGGTGACTAGGAACTTGGGGTATGGGAAAAATGAGGGCTTATTTAATGGGTACAGAGCTTTTGTTTGGAGTGATGAAAATTTTGGAAATAGTGGTAATTGCTGTACAATATTGTGAATCTAATGCCATTGAACTGCATATTTATAATGAGTAAAAACTGGCAAATTTTTTGTTATATGGATTTTACCACTATTAAAAGGATAGTAAACAAAAACACCAAAAAAAAACCTTCATAAATTGTCTTGAATCCAAAAGATAATAATTATAGCATGTTAAAAAGACTTTAAACATCACCTGATAAAACACCAATAAAAATCCCGCTACTTCTATATAAAGTGACAAATTCAATGAGTTTATATTCCAGAAAACAACATCACTTGAAAGAAAAACAAGTCATCCTGTATCTTTAAGAACCTTATCAATTTAAGACAAATCGTAAGTGTTCAATACTCAAAATTTCTGAGTTTCCAAAAAATTAATAAAGGAACTGCCTTATGACCCAGTAATTTCTGGAACTATATCTGAAGAAACCCAAAACACTAATTCGAAAGAATATATGCATCTTTATGTTCATTGTAGTGTTATTTACAATAGCCAAGATTTGGAAGCAGCCCATGTACCCATCAGTAGATGAGTGGATAAAAAAACTAGTACATTTACACAATAGAATACTATTCAACTGTAAAAAAGAAGAAAATCTTACCTTTTCCAACAGCATGCAGGGACCTGGAGAGCATTATGCTAAGTGAAGTAAGCCAGTCAGAGAAAAACAAATACCTTATGATTTCACTTACATGTGAAATATAATGAACAAAATAAATTAAAATAGAAACAGACTCATAAATACAGAGAACAGATTGACAAGTGTCAGAGGGGATGGAGGAGGGGGGAGGTTGGGAGAGTGGGTGAAAAAGGTGAAGGGATTAAACAAACAAAAAAACCTCACAACAATTTGGGTGGTGAACACATAATACAATATACAGAGAAAATATTTTTAAGACTGTACACTTGAAACCTATATAATTTTATTAACCAACTAGAAGCCCAGTGCATGAATTCGTGCACCAGTGGGTTCCCTCTGGGTGACCTGCAGGAATCAGGCTGAAACCTGCAGTCCAATGCTGCCTGCAGCTCCTACCTGCCGCTCCTGCTCATCCCGGCCCCACTGTGCCTGCCGAGGGCTCTCACCCTATCAGTCCTGATTGGGAGAGGCTTGTGCTGCTGCAGCAGTGCTCACCAGCCATGAGCCCTGCATCTGGTGCCCTCCTAAGGGGAGTGGCCTGCGGGATCGGGCTGAAACCAGATCTCTGACATCCCCCAAGGCGTCCCAGATTGCGAGAGGGCACAGGCCAGGCTGAGGAACCCCACCAGGTCACGATCGAGCCAGGGAGGGACTGCGGGAGGGCTCCAGGTGTGTCCGGCCCATCTCACTCAGTCCCGATTGGCCGGACCCCTGCAGCAAGCTAACCTACTGGTTGGAGCATCTGCCCCCTAATGGTCAGTACATGTCATAGCGACTGGTTGACTGTCTGCCCCCTGGTGGTCAGTGCATGTAATAGTGAGCGGTTGAGCAGCCTTAGCATATCATTAGCATATTACGCTTTGGTTGGTTGTTCAGTTGTTCTACCGTTCAGTCTATTTGCATATTACCCTTTTGTTATATAGGATGTCACCCCAATAAATTCAATAAAAATTTCAAAAAAATTTCTGAATTTCAATTCTCTTCATTGAAGAGTTTCTAGGATCTGAATGGTACTCTAGTATAAAAAAAAAACAAACCACAACAACTCCCCAAAATACAAAACAAATAAGCAAACAAAAAAATCCCACCAAAATTCCTTAATAAAATAAACATTCCTAAGACTTCCTAGGAAGAAGAATTTTACATAACTACTGGGTTATATTTCTTCACATTTTATATGCAAGAATCAAACTTATGAATATGTCAAATTTGCAACAAATCAAATATATAACCTCTGAAATTCAATATGACACATTATAATTGAATGCTATCCTATAAAACTACAGTAGAGATTACTATAGTTTGACCAGCACAGATATAAATTAAATATTAATGGCATGAGACTTCATTACCTTAAGAGTGAGTCCCATAAAAAAAAGTGATCCCATCCTACACCATAGCCCTTTTCCCCCAGAAAGAACTGTGACAACAAAACCACATCTTAACAACATGAAGATTTTGTTATTATAAATTTCAAAACAAAAGGGAGGAATTTCACATAATATTTATAACCTAATACATGTCTGTCAGTTAGAAATAACAGCAGTTTGTTAGGCTACAGGGTTTAACATAAAACTTATTTACAAACGTGAAAAGCAGTAGTGGTCCAATATTCACCATTACACATAAATCTGTTTCTTCCAGAAATTTTTTTTTAAAAAATTAAAATTTCACTATCATGAAATATTAAAATAACACCCTAAACATGCCACAATCACTATTCACAAATAAAGTTAAAATGAAATATACAAAAATTCACTTAATACTGTTAAATAACAATAAACTACAAGATTTCCTGAACAGAAATGGTAGGACCCCTGAATGTTTTACAGTGAATGAATGTCAGGAAGAAAATTAAGTTATGACTACTTTCATGATATATAAGGCAAAAATTTACATGACCACCTCAAAATATACCAATTAAGATTTGTAGTTTGTAAGATGCACTAAACAAATAGTCCTAAAAGTTAACACAAATGCTTAAAACATTATTACCAACACCAAGGTGTGTTTGTGATGTTCAAAGAGATGCATAATTAAAACTGTAATTTTGTATCTGGTAAACAGATAATATCTACAATGCTTTAAAACAATCCTCTAAGCTCTCTCTTCTCTCATTTGTATTTATCATGGCTCATTTCAAAGACATATTACAGCTTTCAGCTGATTCCAAGTGAATGTTATTAAAATACACACATATAGACAACCCCCAAATGAAATAAATTGTTCCTCAATGATTTATCATCCTTTCTAATAAAAGAATTATATTTAAAACAAACAAGACCTCTCATGTTTGGACTTGTATGGTTTCGTCTGAACTAAATTAAAGCACGATGTAAAATAGATAAGTGTATTAGTAAAAAATATCCAATATTATGCAGTAAATATTTCTAAAATGAGGAAAGGTAAAAATAAATAATTTTGGTGCTTTAATTTTCTGGTATCTAATGTGAGATCCCCAAAATGTCAGCTGTTCACTTGCTTGAATCAACTTCTGCATTGCGTTTTCCTAAACATAACATGCTTATCAATTTCTTAGCTACTCTATTTGCCAATGTTCAATAAAAAAAATTATATAGATTACATAGCATGAACTTAGAGTGTTCAAGATGGCTCACTTATTTTACTGTTAAGCAAAGCTGAATTTACATTCCAGAAAACACCGCAGTTTAATTTTAAAAACAAACAAAAATGCAGCAGTAAAACAATTCATGAGGAGAAACAGACGCATTCACATAATAAAGCCACTGCAACTTCTTCAGGCATTCAACTGTTGTGTTAAATAAACAGACAGTAGTTATTTAGCAGCAATAATTCCGCAATAAATAATGCACTGTGTTTCAGTCCTGCACAAAAATTGCAGCTACAGTTACATCAATAGCTGTAACCTACTGGCTCTAATGGCAGAGAAGACCTTAAAACCAACTGTACAAAAAAATTGTCACACTGTGACAACAAATATAAAAACAATCTGTAGGTCTGAAATAAAAAGACTCCACTGTGAAGAGGACAGTGTAGACAAACGGAGATTCCAAGTCCACCAAAAGAAATAATTGCCTTCAGATCTGAGTCCTTGATTGATAAGAAAGGCTGGGGGCTGGGCTTGAAACCATGTTATCAGACTTAAAAGAGCATGCTCTGTCTTCTGTTCTTCCCATGTCCTAAAATATAAAGTCATTTTATGAGGCAGTTCGAGGTTCAATTTTATCCCACATACAGTATTTGGTGACTCTAGGATGCTAATGTTCCCACCAGCAAAGCTAATTTTCCACGGTAAGAGTGATCAATACTGTCTTAAATGACCCTTTTGTCGATGGGTCAGTCTACAGCTTCTATGCTTCGAAGTGATGAACCTGATGACTAGGGAAGCACAAGATGTGTCTTCTGCCTCAGGTACCAGGATGGCATGTGCATTGATCAAGCCAGGCCACTTGTAAAAGGTTTCTGTGCCATCTGCAGCTTTCAGGATCCCTGACTTGACTGAGTCAGATTTCTCTCTGAAGAATTACTGAGAATGTGCAATGCTAAACATACACAGTTGTGGAATGCACTGTACATTGGTTTTTACATCAATAATTTTACTGATCAACTTATAAACCAAAAAGTTGGTTCCATGCATAATTTCATGATCGACACGTGAAATGGTTTATGACAAACACACCTGTCTCTGGATAAGAAGAATTTCGAAAACCTGGATCCTTTTGCAACTGAATCTCTTTCAAACTGAATATTGATACACCTAAAATGCATAGACAGGAATTATCAGGTGAGGTCTAACAGTATTAAAACAAATATAAACCAACTATAGACAAATGTTTAAAAATGAATATTGATTCAACATGAAAGATTTATATTACATTTACAAGGTTATAGCCCTGCTGAAATATTTTCCCCTTTGCCCCAATGTTTTAAGAAAACCAAAAAATAATCTCTCTTTAGGACCCCACCCCCCATCTCTGCTTTAAATCATGCTTCAAGTATGTAGTTCTCTAAGGAGACTATACATTGATATTTCTAGGACCTACTGGGGTTGAGAGACCTAATCAAAATGTATTGCTTTTCCTCTCTGTCCTTTTCCTCCCTCCTATGACGGCAGGAAGGTATCAGGTCCTCAAAACTGTCTTCAGAATTTTTTAGATAAGAACAAGGATTAGGTTTGTACATAACTGCCTACCTTAAACTATGAAATTTGATATTAATAATGAAATGTAAGTATCATCTTAAAAACACCTGTAATTCACCTTCCTCATTTCAGTCTCTGCCAGAGAGATAATCTTTCATTAAAAACTATACCGTAAATTCTAAGTGGAAAGTCTTGATTTCAATAAGCAAACTTTGATGAATCAATATTGTCTAGTAAATGGGAAATAATGTAAGCTTTTAGAAGCTCAGTTCCCAAATATTCTAATTTCCCAATCACCTTACTTAATTTTAAAGTAAAATATTGAGGTAATTAAAAAAAGAATGTTATGAGTGGAATCAAGCAGTTACCTCAGACACAAGAAATCGGCTGGTTTAGTAACTAACAGTAGGCTCACTACTGTCAGGGCAATAGTAAAGGAAAATCATCTTTATGTCTTAAAAAGGAACTCTACTTTCACAAGAAAACAATCTTATGTTTTGGTTGTGTTTCATTGTTGTTGTTTTTTGCCTGAAATCCATTTTTTTAACAACTCTGAACCAAAGCAATACAGACTGGGACTAATGACAATGTCTATCATCAGATGGCATTTCCAACTTAAGTCCAATAAGATTAATTACTCTTGCCTAAGTACTATTGATTTCTTACAGAATAGTGGCAATGTGCTCAGTGTTAAATAAATTAAAACACAGGCAACCAATACATAAAAAAATTCTGATCTAATTACAAGAAGACTGGAATTTTAGGCTTAAAAACCAACAGCAATCTTGCCCTGGCTGGGTGACTCAGTTGGCTGGAGCATCATCCCGTGCACCAAAGGGTTGCAAGTTCCATTCCCGGTCAGGGTATGTACCCAGGATGCGGGTTTGACCCTCAGTTGGGGCTTGTACAGAAGACAACTGATCAATGTCTCTCTTTCACATTGATGTTTCTCTCTCTCTCAAATCAATAAAAACATATCCTTGAGTGCAGATAAACAAAAACAAAACAAAAAAACCAACAGCAATCTCTTCCTAATCCCCTAATTCATCTCAGTCTCCTACCCTGGACAAACGAAAAGAAAGAAGGTGTGGGGGAAGGAGGAGAACACTAAAATTTCTCTTACTTTCAGGTAAGGCATGTATCCTTGGTCCCAGACTTCGAAAGTACACATGTTTCATGGCTTCTTCTGCTGAAACTCTTTTCTTAGATTCATACTGTGAAAAAGCAAAGAATTGCGTCATTAACTTTTTCTCTAAATACTGTTACAGGAGGGAAGTTAACACTACTTTGATTACTTGATACAATCACTATTTTCAAAGAATCAATTTGGAGGTGCCTCAGATACGCTCTAATTTGAGTTATTATTGACTATATCTCAGCCCCAAATTTCTAAGATAAAGTTGGAGCTTACCTAAAAATTTAGATTCCCCGTATTTTTTGAAGAGATGAAAAATTGAAATACTTGAATTTTGGTGTTACTTTTCTTCATGAACACCAAAGGATCACTGAAAATATATCTCTATGACAGACATTATTGAATTACCTATTCGATACCCACTTCCCCCTTTCCCTTGATAGATAAACCTAGATTTATTTCAGGTGTCCATTGCTTCAACTCCAACAGATGGATCATGAATCATGACTGTCCTAGTTTGGGCTAATTATGATAATTCTGCTCCTCAATTCCCAGACTCCCTTACAATTAATGCTCTGGCCAACAAAAGTTAGTTTTGAAAAAAACCTTACAGGGATTTCTGGAAAAGCTTTGACTTTTCAAACACAAAAGGGCTAATGGGGCTGACGCAAGCATCATCCTCTCTTCTCCCTGCTTTGAATGATATGAACGCTATTTGGAGGTGCAGCACCTTGTACAGAAATTAAGTATAAGGAGGGCAAAGAGAACATAAGAAAACACGAATTGCAGAGAACATGGCTGTGACATAGTTGATAGATGACAGCAGCTAACTGCCTCAGACTATTCAAGGTCACAATGAGAGACCCACCAAACACATTATGAGAGACCATAATATTTTTACTTTAGCATATACCTTAAGCATGCTAGATACTATAATAAATAATATTATTTAATTGTCATGACAAATTTTTGAAGGAGTTATTATTGATCCCATTCTACAGATGAAGAAACTGAGTCTCAGAGAAGTTGAGCCATTTAACAATTACAACATAACACGTAACTTACCTGAAGAAATTTTGTTATCAATTCAATCCCTTCAGAGTCTAACCTAGAAACAGCAAAAAACAAGTGGCAGTTTATTCTTTTATATTAGCGTATAGCAACTTTTCAAACAAAACTACTTTCCAAATGTTTTAAGCTGTGAAACCTAGTGCTCTAAAATAGCCATTCTTGTTCTTTCAAATAGACCAAAGCTGTCTTATCCTCAAAAGACTAATCTCACCACTTATTTAAGAAGAAACCATAAATAACTGGGTGCAATTTCAAATTTCCAATATTCAAAAACAAATTAGATTATTAAAAACGACAGAATTTTTTCTGGTATTGTTAATCTTCACCCAAGGATATTTTTCCATTGATTTTTCAGAGAGAGGGGAAGGGAGGGGGACAGACAGAGAGAAACATCGATGTGAGAGACATACATCAAATGATTGCCTCCAGCACATGCCCCAACCAGGGCTGGTGATCAAGCCTGCCACCAAGGTATGTGCCCTTGACCAGAATTGAACCTGGGATCTTCAGTATGCGGATGGAGGCTCTATCCACTGAGCCAAACCAACTATGGCCAGTATATGCTTTTTAATGGACCCATG